CTGAAAAATATGCAGATGCACCAAAGTTTTATTACATAACTAATAAAATCTGACCAATTTTGTAATGAGGAGGTCAACTGAAAGAAGGCAAGAAAAACATAACACTGCTTTTCTCACAACTGCATCCGATCCCATGAGCTGGTTAGAGACATAATACTTCACAGTAGGATTGTGGGGTGTGGTGGTTCAATGTAATGTGAGCATGAACTCCGCCAAGCTGGACTGTTTAGATAAAACATTCATTTCTCAGCATTCTTTCAGAATGAAATGCTTTGTTAGTATTTGTTATAACACCATAATCAGAGAATGCGTGGTAAAGGTCTATTAAATAAATCGTTAATCATCAAACTTTGCCCATTCAGTTTTTCCTAGCAATTCATTTAAGTACTATCACTTCTAAAACTTTTAGGCCAAATTCAACAGCTTTTCTTTTTCTTTTTATTTATCCAGTATGTACTAGATTGTGGTATTTGCTGAAACAAATACTAACGCGTTTCAGAAAATAACTGGGGCTAAAGCATCTTCAATAACAGTATGCGAAGGACTATATTCAAGCACATATGTATATATATATATATATGTTTGTGTGTGTACATACATTATGTAATTAAAAATTTATCATGAAGAAACCAGTCATAGCAATATAATTACAGAAAATTAACCAACTTAAGACTGAAGTTTATTACCCCTCCCTTCCCAAAATGTATTAGAGAGGTCACTGTGATCTGAGACAAGCTCTGCAAGTTCGCAGATAGTACCTGGTGGAAAAATATTCTATATAAATAATCAAATTTTTCATCCTTTTTACCCCTGAAGCAAGAGAAGACCTGCTTTTTTATCTTGTTAATAGAAACCACAATCTCTCATTAATATGCAGGGCTGGTGAGCTGCTTCTCAAGAGGAAAACCTGCAGCAAGGCTTTGCCATTAATCAACTTCAGCCCAACAGTTCAGCGAGACATGATGATACATGTTTTTAACTCTAAATTAATGAATATCTTTACCAACTGTCAATAAATGAAGAAAAACACTGGTGAGGACCACAAGTTGAGGTGGGAAATTTCCAAACACAACAGAGTGATGGGGAAGTGGGCAACTAACAAGAATAATCATGCTGTCACACACAAACAAGGCTTAACATGATCCAGGCCCTACTCAGGGAAAGGGTTGTGCTGCAGTGATAAATCTGCCAAAACCTAATGATTTTTGACACATTAGATGCATCAGGGAATCACTGTGAAAAAAATTCCTTATCAAGTAGTTTTTGCATTAGAAAGTGACTGAACCTGCCAGCCATCTCTTGGGCTACATTCTTCAATGAAAGAAGTAACTTTGAATTTTAAAAGGTACAGATTGCTTTAATATTCATTGCAAAATAACTTATTATTCAAACCTTATTGGGAAGCTCTACTCTTTTTTTTTTATTTTTAGCCTTTGTTTTTGTTGTTTGGTGTTAGTAAATTATTCGGTTTTCTTTTAGTAAGTTCGAACCTGAATGTTGAAAAGCAGAACTAGGGCCCCCTAAAAGTGTGTGTGTGTGTGTGTGTGTGTGTGTGTGTGTGTGTGCCTGTACGTATGTGTAAAAAAGTAGAATAAAAGGGAAAAAATTGAAAGAAAGAAGGTCAATCACATTAAGGAAAAAATAAACAATAAAACTTGAAATTTATGAAAAAATAACTTTCTATCTCATAATCTCACTTTACTTCACAAATAGCTTTTGCAGAACCAGCCACACTAATGGAGTATTGTCACTACCCCCGTGGGCATATACGTATGTACATGTAAACGTATACGTGTGCCTGTCTGCCTGTGTGTGTCTTCATTTTAAAACATGAAAAATACTCGGCATAGGAAGTGAGAAAATTCTAGAGAATCTAAGAACTCTTTACTAGTTAATTCTTAATGCCAGATTCACAAAAAAATTTAAAATTTAATTAGAACTCATTACACAGTAAATAAAATTTCCTTAAATAACTAATTCAATGTGAATGATTATCTAGGGATGTAAATTTATTTTGGTTGGAGAGGGCCCCTTGAGCTTTATGACAAAGAAAGGCTTCTGAAAGTACTGTCACATATATTTATCATACGGTAACAAACAATCCTAGAGATATGTACTTAAAAATATTAAAGAGAGACAAATGAGTCTAGACGACACAAGGTCGCTGCAGTCATAAAACATAGCAAAGCCTTCTCCTAATGTGAAAAATATAGCTTACAGCTTTAATTTGCATTAATTATAAATCAGTAACATGCTTGTGTGGTTTGAAAACGCGAGAAAAATTATTAGTTCTCTCAGTCACTTTACGCTGTATTAAGATGTCTGGATGAGTCATTTAGTATCTAATGAGTAGCAAGCATTATGAAGTCAGAAATAAATGTGTACTATGTATCTTTGAATTCATTGCTGCAATTGGAATGAGACACTTGCATATTATGACAGGATTATTACCAGCAATCATGCACAGATATGCTGGGGATGCAAATAACGTCATTAGCAGGGTATTGTAATGAAATAAGGTGTATTATCATTCTTTATGGTGACACAAACCATATTAGCTATGCTCCAACTGGATTTGTAGAACATAGGGAAGTTGCTTTGCTTGGATGTTCATCACAACTCTCCAGTACACTAAATGGAAATAATGCTGAATCAATACAAAAATCTGTATGCCGTAGAATTAAATCCATCTTTAGGAAACTCACATCATATGATAATGCAAAACCCAGAAACAGACATCTCACATTATTTAGCAACAAGTATATGATTATTTTCAAAGTTACCAAGTAACAAAATGCCCAGGACACTTTTAAACTTATTTAAAATATAACTAACATGCATGCAAAATGGAAAAGCACATTTGGAGTCCTAAGAAGTTAAAATCCATTGGGAATCTTGATGTCCCTTAGAATGTGCCTATAGGAATTATCAGAGAAGTTCAGTTCTTGAAGAGGAAATGGTTTGTTTGTTTGGTTGGTTTAAATAAAAAAACAAGCCCACAATATTTCGAACCACCATGCAAATTAAAAATAAAAATTTTAATAAAAAAGTACACAGGCTTGGAATATTATAATTAATGTGATAAGCACTATGTTTTAGATTGTATTTACATAGCCTTCTTCAGATCTTCTTCTTGAGTCACATTATTTTAAGCAGAAAGAAATAAGCAGAAAGAAAAACAAAACAAGACCAAAATATAAAACGTACAGATAACAAAAATGTTGTCAGTCCTGCAAAATGTAAACATCTACATCATTTTGCCAATGCTGACATTCTTAAAACACAATTTGAAACTGAGGTAATAATTTCAAATGGATACTACAATATTGCCAGAAGAGCATTTGTCTTGGTATTCTGTAACTGTACTTAATAAACTGAATATTATAATCATATAGACTTCAGAGTTATAATTTAAAGTGCTGCATCGTATATAGTATTAAAAACCCCTGTTTATTTGAAAGGTATATTCAATTTAAAAAGCATAACATATATTAAAAATATTTAAATTGTGTAGAGACTTTAATGGATTTAATCAATTTATCTGGAGACTAGTTTTTATGTGGTAAAGACAATTAGTTCTCTTGGCTTGATTTTAAAAGTCTTTCTAAGTCTTTCTCTTGATATTCCTGAAACCTTATTGGATTCAGTCTATCTTATAACAACTTAATTTGTGTGTGTGTATGTGGAGGGTAAAGCAGGGAGTGCTTTACCAATTAAACTTTCCCCCAGAAATGGTATTACCACCTTCAAAAGTTAGTGGTAGCGAATGAGATTCCAGGATAATGTTATTTTTATTAGAGGACTATCTATCTATCTATCTAAAAGGGGCTCTGACAGTATAGTGGTTACAAATTGGGCTGCTAACCTCAAAGTCAGCAGTTCAAAACTACTAGCTGTTCCGTGGGAGAAAGATAAGGCTTTCTGCTTCCATGAAGAGTTACAGCCTCGGAAACCCTGTACAGAGTTGCTATGGTTCAGAACCGATTCCACAGCACTTGACAACAACAATCTATGTACAGGAGTCCTGGTGTGGTGCTGTAGGATAATGCACTGGAACACAAGGTTGGTTTGAACTGCAAAGTCGATGATTCAAACTCACCAGCTGCCCTTCAGAAACTCTATCAGGGTTGTTATGGGTCACAATCAACTCAATGACACTTAACAACAAACAACATCTATATATAAAAGGGATTTCATTGTTGTGTGCCTTTGAGTTGGTTCTGACCCATAGCAATCCATAGGGTTACCAAGGAGCAGTTGGTGAGCTTGAACTGCTGACCTTATAGTTCAAACTGACTTCACAGTCCAGCGCATTAACCCACAGCGCCACATCAGGACTCCAAAGTGGACTTAAGAAACAGAGAAGTCTGTTCTGGGGTGACAGTTTCTAGAAAGTGTTTTAACATTCTGCATGATTGGGCCAAGAACACTAGAATATTTCAAATGTTTCTACTGTACTGAGCTACTATCAGCTCTAATCTCTCAATTCACAGGATAGAATACTCCGCAAGGATAGGTTAGAGACTATGGGCAGGCCATTCTAAGGCCATTAATGCACATTGTGGGGTAAATCAGGACATTATATTGTAGCCATTATAAGTAAAACAAAACAAAACAAAACAAGAGTTTCTCATTGATATCTAAAGATGTATATAGAAAGTTGTGTTACATCCAAAGCGTTTTATTATTGATGTAAAGGCAAAAACTTAAAGTCTCCAAGGTACTAGGCACTGTTCTGAGCCATAAATGATAAAATAGAAGCACAGTCCCTGAAATAACAATTCTTTACTTAAAGAATAATAGAGACTAGAAAAGTAGATCTGCTAGTATATGCATATGATGAATTTGTAGATATTATTTTATGTGATGAATAAAATGATTTGCTCCTACTAAAGGTTATGCAGTCCACTAGCTTGATCCAAAGCTATAGCTTTATCTTCCTCTGCATATTCCTGGAGTCTTATTGGATCTATGGTCCATTTTATAACAACTTAATCGTT